ACAATGCCATCGTGGCCCCCCAATTCAAAGTTGTGTCTACAAAAACAATTAACTATATCCCGAGAATATATATATATACATACTTAGAGAAATACATATGTATATATATATTTATATATATATAGATATATATATATAATTATATATAGAGAAATATATATATATAATAAACATATATATATAGATATATATATATATTGATACTAAGGATAATAAGTCTGGTGCATGGTTGTAGTAGTAGTAGTGGTTGTTGTTGTAATAGTAGTAGTCTTCGTAGTAAGTAGTAAGTAGTAGAAGTAGAAGTAGAAGTAGTAGTAGTAGTAGTAGTAGTACCCAGAGGGGCATTTCTTACCTAAAACCCTCCGATATCCCCGTTTCTTACTTAAAACCCCCCCAGCGGCGAGCCCCAGCACAAGCTGTCACAAGCTATCTTACACACAAAAAGCGTTCTTTGTACATATTGTCTGCGCCGTTTGCTTATGAATGCTGCGCAGCTCCCCATACAGCAAAATTTGCTTCCAACGCGCGCATGCCGCAAACCCTTTTCCAGAATAAATCTGTATGTTTTGGCTGGAAAAAAGTTTCATCACCGCAAGTCGGCAAATGTTCCGGAATTCCCCGTGTGTTACCGGCGGTTCCCGGGGTGTTCCCGGCGGTTCCCGGGGTGTTCCCGGCGGTTTCCCGGGTTGTTCCCGGGGTGTTCCCGGGGTGTTCCCGTATTTGTTTTTGGGTATGGCTCAAGTCCTCGCCAGACAAGCCGAAAAGGTTTGAAGACTTTCACGCTACCCATGGTACGAAATCTCATCAACAAATTTTCACAGATGCTACAGTCTGCTACAGATACACAATAGCAAAATTCAAAATTATTTTTCCAATTTGCCAAACTCTTTTTGTTTGTGACTTGAGTTTCGGGGTTTTAGCACCGAAATAGCCATTTCTGACCTAAAACCCCTCATTTCTTATTTCTTACTTAAAACCCTGACGAGATGCCCCTCTGGGTAGTAGTAGTAGTAGTAGTAGTAGTCGTCGTAGTAGTCGTAGTAGTCGTAGTAGTAGTAGTAGTCGTAGTAGTAGCAGTAGCAGTAGTCGTAGTAGTAGTAGTAGTAGTAGTCGTCGTCGTAGTCGTAGTAGTAGTAGTAGTAGTAGTAGTCGTAGTAGTCGTAGTAGTAGTAGTAGTAGCAGTAGCAGTCGTCGTAGTAGTAGTAGTCGTAGTCGTAGTCGTAGTCGTCGTAGTCGTAGTAGTAGTAGTAGTAGTAGTAGTAGTAGTAGTCGTCGTCGTAGTCGTAGTAGTAGTAGTAGTAGTAGCAGTAGCAGTAGTAGTAGTAGTAGTCGTAGTCGTCGTCGTCGTCGTCGTCGTAGTCGTAGTCGTATAGTCGTAGTCGTAGTAGTAGTCGTAGTCGTAGTCGTAGTCGTACCGTAAGAATCCACAGCTTCACAAAGGACATCTCCGAGAACATTCAACATCATTTCAGTTCGAGCGTTGTTGGATGCATATGAACGCTGTCGTGTGTGTCGACAATTGTCGGTTTAGTCGGAACCTATATGAAGTTATATCACATTTTTTGTTATGCACGTTTGCAATATAAAATCAAAAATTTCTCTTATCTTTCATCTTGTTTATAAGTTAAACCCTAAATTTCCGAGAACGTTTTCAGAAATCGAAAGCGCTCGGATCCAAAGCGCTGCACCAAGAACAAATTTCTTGCGCTTTCTGACACTTTTGCAAACTTTCGAAACATGATGCGCCATCAGCAGCTGCAAGAAAAAGTTTCATTTCAAAAGTTTGTTTTGCAAAAGCAAGAACTTTTCACAAATTACTTACAGATTTCTTTTCTCTTTTAAATGGTTAACAACTGACAATTTTACTTTTCCAAGATAAACCCTAAATCTCCGAGAACGTTTTCAGAAATCGAAAGCGCTCGGATCCAAAGCGCTGCACCAAGAACAAAGTTCTTGCGCTTTCCGCAACTTTTGCAAACTTTCGAAACATGATGCGCCATCAGCAGCTGCAAGAAAAAGTTTCGTTTCAAAAGTTTGTTTTGCAAAAGCAAGAACTTTTCACAAATTACTTACAGATTTCTTTTCTCTTTTAAAAGAAGTAACAACTGACAATTTTGCTTTTCCAAGATAAACCCTAAATCTCCGAGAACGTTTTCAGAAATCGAAAGCGCTCGGATCCAAAGCGCTGCACCAAGAACAAAGTTCTTGCGCTTTCTGACACTTTTCCAAACTTTCGAAACATGATGCGCCATCAGCAGCTGCAATGAAAAAGTTTCGTTTCAAAAGTTTGTTTTGCAAAAGCAAGAACTTTTAACATTCTCTTTTAAAAGAGTAACAACTGGCAATTTTACTTTTCCAGGATAAACCCTAAATCTCCGAGAACGTTTTCAGAAATCGAAAGCGCTCGGATCCAAAGCGCTGCACCAAGAACAAATTTCTTTCGCTTTCTGACACTTTTCCAAACTTTCGAAACATGATGCGCCATCAGCAGCTGCAAGAAAAAGTTTCGGTTCAAAAGTTTGTTTTGCAAAAGCAAGAACTTTTAACAAATTACTTACAGATTTCTTTTCTCTTTTAAAAGAAGTAACAACTGACAATTTTACTTTTCCAAGATAAACCCTAAATCTCCGAGAACGTTTTCAGAAATCGAAAGCGCTCGGATCCAAAGCGCTGCACCAAGAACAAATTTCTTGCGCTTTCTGATACTTTTCCAAACTTTCGAAACATGATGCGCCATCAGCAGCTGCAAGAAAAAGTTTCATTTCAAAAGTTTGTTTTGCAAAAGCAAGAACTTTTCACAAATTACTTACAGATTTCTTTTCTCTTTTAAATGGTTAACAACTGACAATTTTACTTTTCCAAGATAAACCCTAAATCTCCGAGAACGTTTTCAGAAATCGAAAGCGCTCGGATCCAAAGCGCTGCACCAAGAACAAAGTTCTTGCGCTTTCCGCAACTTTTGCAAACTTTCGAAACATGATGCGCCATCAGCAGCTGCAAGAAAAGTTTCATTTCAAAAGTTTGTTTTGCAAAAGCAAGAACTTTTCACAAATTACTTACAGATTTCTTTTCTCTTTTAAAAGAAGTAACAACTGACAATTTTGCTTTTCCAAGATAAACCCTAAATCTCCGAGAACGTTTTCAGAAATCGAAAGCGCTCGGATCCAAAGCGCTGCACCAAGAACAAAGTTCTTGCGCTTTCTGACACTTTTCCAAACTTTCGAAACATGATGCGCCATCAGCAGCTGCAATGAAAAAGTTTCGTTTCAAAAGTTTGTTTTGCAAAAGCAAGAACTTTTAACATTCTCTTTTAAAAGAGTAACAACTGGCAATTTTACTTTTCCAGGATAAACCCTAAATCTCCGAGAACGTTTTCAGAAATCGAACGCGCTCGGATCCAAAGCGCTGCACCAAGAACAAATTTCTTGCGCTTTCTGACACTTTTCCAAACTTTCGAAACATGATGCGCCATCAGCAGCTGCAAGAAAAAGTTTCGGTTCAAAAGTTTGTTTTGCAAAAGCAAGAACTTTTAACAAATTACTTACAGATTTCTTTTCTCTTTTAAAAGAAGTAACAACTGACAATTTTACTTTTCCAAGATAAACCCTAAATCTCCGAGAACGTTTTCAGAAATCGAAAGCGCTCGGATCCAAAGCGCTGCACCAAGAACAAAGTTCTTGCGCTTTCTGACACTTTTGCAAACTTTCGAAACATGATGTGCCATCAGCAGCTGCAAGAAAAAGTTTCATTTCAAAAGTTTGTTTTGCAAAAGCAAGAACTTTTAACAAATTACTTACAGATTTCTTTTCTCTTTTAAAAGAAGTAACAGCTGACAATTTTACTTTCCAAGATAAACCCTAAATCTCCGAGAACGTTTTCAGAAATCGAAAGCGCTCGGATCCAAAGCGCTGCACCAAGAACAAATTTCTTGCGCTTTCCGCAACTTTTGCAAACTTTCGAAACATGATGCGCCATCAGCAGCTGCAAGAAAAAGTTTCGGTTCAAAAGTTTGTTTTGCAAAAGCAAGAACTTTTAACAAATTACTTACAGATTTCTTTTCTCTTTTGAAAGAAGTAACAACTGACAACTCTGGATAAACGTGCGTCAGGAAAAATATGCCTGATAAACTATGTTGCAGACGCATCCCAAGCACATACCGTTGCCGGCAAGGCTTTGATCTTGTAGCCTTCATCGTTTTTGCAGTAGTAGGGCTTGCATCACATTGAGCTCAGCGACTGCGCCGGGCGCATCCCACAGCTGCACAAGGCAGCTCATTGGAACATCTCCCTGAGCAACAACAGGATCATGGTGCCAGTGGCTTCCAGCAACACTGTCATGCTGCACTTTGGTCTACAGTCATGCAGTAGATGCCAGCAGGCATGGCTTCATTCAAAAGGCTATGAGATTCATGGTTGGAGCAGCACCACAAGCTTGAGCCACTATATAGTTAGTAAATATTTGTAGATACATATTTATATGTAAGCATACATGCATATAAATGTAAACTGTATAGATTATAAATATGTCTATATATCTATATTGATATGTGTGAAAAATATATATATATATGTAAATCTGAAAATAGGAAAGGGTCTAAATCCTGGATGTTCAGGGTGACCAATGACAGCTGTCAAACACCCAATGCGTTGACCGATTTTTTTGATTTTTGGTGGTGGTTCATGAATGGAAAGCCGCTCGGCCGTTGACAAACCTTTCTTTCAAAACATCAATCAAAATCATGGGATTCAAAAACAGTCAGAAAATTGAATCAAAATCATGGGGCCCAAGAATTGTCAGAACCAGTGGCAGGACATCATGAGAACAGAAAGTCCTGTAACTAATGACCAACTAGACAAAAGCTTTGGTCCAACTAATGGAAAACCACCAGTAGGTAATGCACACAGATCCCACCTGCTGCCGTTGATGGGATGCACCCACGCGCGTTCGGTTCCCAAGTTTTTCCAGGATGCGGCCCCACCACATCAACCAGCGTTTTCACGCTATCTAAGGGAGAGATAGAGAAGATACCTCTGGTATAACCTCTCCATCATATTTGACTGATGGCATCGGACACCGATGCGCTTCACATACCCCAAAAAACTTTCGTCATTGAAACAGGCTTGAACCTTTCTTGGATTCAGCCTTGTCCTGGGGACATCTTGTGCCATGTGGTTCACATTATGGTGTTTGGGGCGCAGTTTAAAAAGACATTCCCCCAAGTTTTCGAAGAAGCTCGCTAGGTGTTGCCATGCAACCAGGTGCACCTCCAGGTTCTTTCCAGTTTCCTCAGAAGTCACTGGCTGAAGGTTTGATTTATAGACCGTTTTAAATGCAAAAAAGAAACCAATCATCAACCATAGATTTGTCCGGTTTTGGCGGATGTGAAAAAAACACCAACAGTGGAATCTTGTACCCCTTAATCATGTGGACTTTGCCCATTTTAAAATCATCCCAATGCGCTGGCCAAACAATTCAAAATGACAACCAGTGCTCACAACTCTTTTTAACATATACCCTCAACGTTTTGCCATCATCCTGATGGGAATGCTTGCGTATGCTTGCCATGTTTGGCTATTTTGAAGGTAAATTACATTTTTGGGAAGGTGATGATAAACTATTCAGGGACTCAGTTAGACATATGTATATTTATATATGTTTGCAAGCGTCATCAGCTTCGGCCTGTTCCATGATGAGATCACAGTGGTCCATGCAGTAGAAGGCTGAGTAGAGGTGAAAATTGCAGACTGCAATGAGCTTCAAAGTCGGATCCTGGTAGGGCTACATATCCCAGAGAAAATTCATATCACAGAGAGAATTCACCACCCTATGTTTTAGGACCACTGAAGGGAAAAACTTGAAAATCAATCAAGGCACGCTAGGATGTTCTTCACTGATTTGGATGGCCTTCTTTGAAAAAAAACAAAGTGCACTCTTCAGAAATGCCGCCTTGAATGTGCTAGCCATTTCGGGGAATTTCGACGGGTGATCAAGTCCAGTATTGGAACCGGTGAAGCGCTTGAAATTGATCCGGATCCTGGGGGAAGATAAATGGGAAACCAAATGCTTTGGTCCCAGCATGCATTAGGCAAACTAAAAATACAAATGTTTGGTGATTGAACTCTCTTTGGGGATCTGCTATCATCCAGCTTGACATTTGATGAAACCCTGGTCTATATTGGGATTATCAAACTTTATTTAAGAGTTCTGGAAGTTTGCGACACTTATACCCCAATTTGTGGCGCATTGTGAACCACAACCCAAAACCCGGAACAAAATCCCTTAATCTCATATTTTCTTGGGTCTGGGTTCAGACATGTTTAGACCACATTTATGCATGTACCGTTTTGTGCAGTTTGTCCACATAGAAAGAAATAACGATTCTCAAAAATGAGTCTCCGTTCTTGGCGACATTCCGTTTTCAACTCCAGTGAAAGCTGCAGCAATCGGTCATCCAAAGACCCACGTCCAAAATAGTTTTTGCGGATCCAATAGCCCAATGAAGATGGATACAAATCCCTGCAGGTCCCAAGAAACACAGTGTGCATAGGATCATGGAACGCGCACTTGACGCTCCACCCTTCCACAATGGCCCAAGGTGATATGCACTGTCCTCGCATGTAGTCAGCAAAGCCTGAGGACGAGGACTCATTGGCTCGGGTGATGGGAATTGTTTTGGATTTTGTATATATACTTTGGACCTGGAAGACGATCAACAACACCCGAAAAAACATAAAAGTATCCAACAGAGTTGAACAATTATGGATCAATAGGCAAGAAGCTCACTGGGGTCATCCTGTGCACTGCGCTAGGGTGGAATTTTTTGTAGGAAAGTTCTGGAATCCAGCCTTTATGTTTTTTCTGAGCCATACAGTTCATGCAGATCAGTGAGTGCTGATACGATCTTTGAAAGAAGTTTGTTTCCTTGCGGGCTTTTTCGTCAAAACGAAATCCGAAGAAACACATCCTCCAACTCGAAGCCAAGGGTTTCCCAGCTAGCTCAGCCCTGACCCCTGAAAGTGGCTCACCATTGAAACCACATGATGGAGCACGGCCACAAGCAGCATGGTGAAGCGACCATGCAACCACTTTCGCTACCAAAGTGTGAACCTGTTTCTTCACTTCATCTGTGGCCATGGAGTCATGAGGTAATATGCAAAGAGGAAATTTGCAGTCCCACACATGGGCCTCCGACAAAACAGAAGCCATGGACCACACCAAATACTCCGAATTGGAATAAAACTCAGCTCCGTCTACATGTAGAGCCACTGGTATGAGGCCTTTTGTGCCAAGTTCGGTTTTGAGAAGAAACAATGACAAAAACAACCAATGCATATCTTACCCATTATAACTATATCACGTTTTGTAGGTCAAATACCACTCCAATTGCCATAGATTCCCAGCAAGTTACGCCCAAAAGTTGCAACCTTGTCTTCAGACAAGCACGGATGGTCTCGCCATTCTTCTAGGGATCCAACATGGTGCCAGAACTCAGCAATGCTTCTTGTGCTTCGGTGTCCAGTCATAGAAGTTGCAAACTGCAGGGTTGGAAGCAAAGGTTTTTGGAAAAATTGATATCGAGATACTATGTTTCCAAAAACCAACCAAGACAATTCTATGTGTTTTGAACACCAAAGCCTGCATGGGACCTGCTTCATATACTGCATTCAGTACTTCATGCGGAAGTAGGAAAGGAACTTCAGTTGGCACCGGTTCTTTATCATAGCCAGCCGTAAGGAGGCCACATGAAGAAATCAGTCACACTCATGTTCAGATCGTTTCGGTCTTTGAAAAAAAATCCCAAAAGTTACACAACCTATAGCGAGAAACAGTCAAGTCCATGGTGACTCTGTAGGTTGAAAGATTCATACCGTAAATTCTAGTCAACCATCGGTGTAAATCCCGTTCCTGATTGGCAGCATGGCGTCCATGACACCCCAGAGATGCAAAGGCTTCTAAGGCCGCTGATGGCACCCCATCCTTGACGTTGGCCCTGGCTAAATCACAAACTTCAGCAATGTGAGCTCGACCAGAACCAAGCATACCTTGAAGAATGAGTGGGGGGTGAACACTACTAACTTCTAATCTTTTAAAACTAACACATATTTGCAATCAAAACCCATGGATAAAGAACTGGAAGGATTTGAAGGTTTCTCCAACAAATCTATAATGGTTCTGAAATCAGAGTGCAGGCACGAATGTATGTCTCAGCAGTTTGGCATTTGGGCAGCTCATCGTAAGGTGTCTGCCTGCAAGTAATGGACCAGTAGGGTAATGACACTGCCCCCAAACCAAGATACTTGCCAGCTACAATGTAACACAACAGGTTGGTTTCCCATTCTAAATCTTGAATTGCATCGTTCATGGGTTTCTGATTTTTCCTTTGTGCCCCTATCATGAACAATTCCTGCCAGGACCCTGGTTGCCTCGATCGATGCTTGCCGTTCCGTTGAGCACCTGCGTTGGGAGGCCAGCCGAAAGGGAATGTTTGATGGAGGGGGAAAGGAATCTTCAATGGGAAAGTTTCATACCGTATTGAAACACAACATAAAATCAATTGAAAATGATGCCAAGAAAGGAGAGGGGACCATTGCACGCATGGCTTCTTTTTCTATCGCTGCTCGATGGTGGCAATGTTCCATGCGGCATCAGACCCAGTGCAATCATGCCAGGGGTTGCTGGCTTCTAGGTCTCAAGCGATAACTACTTACATGTGTATGTATGTATGTATGTATGTATGTATGTATGTATGTATGTATGTATGTATGTATGTGTGTATGTATGTATATGAAACCTTTGAAGAGATGTTGCTCCATTTCAGACGCTTCGAAGTCTGCCAGCCAAAAGCTTGTATGACCCAGCTTAAGATTGCTTTCCCAGGGTCACCACCTATCACTGCCAAATCACTCAGTCAGTAAGTGCTCACTATCCGGGCATCGGTCAAAAGCTGGCAGCCATCCAGGGGGCCAGGAAATTCAAACAAGATTGACACGCTGTTGATTCTTCAATGGAGGAACTTAACACGGAATTCTATATATATATATATATTTTTATTTATTTATTTAAATATATATATATACATATATATGCACTATATAGTTCTCTCCCAGCTACTATCCCGGAAGCTGCTTTCTACCCATAGATGGAAAAGACGGTTCACTCAGCGACAGTCGACGCTTGGTCTTCCGGAGGGTTCTTGTCTTTGTCAGCCTTCTTTCCTTTGGCCCTTTTCGGTTTCTTGTTCAGGCCGTTCTGCAAAGCTTTGGCTGCCGCCTGGATGGCGAAATGCTCAGTCCAACATGCTACAAACTGACTTGTGTTTTGATATGGATGTTTGACATGGTTTTATTCTATTTATGGATGTTTTGATGCTGGAAACTGGCTTGTGTTAGACTGACTCAGTTTGATATAGCGCTGCTGCAAATGTATTTTGATATGGATTGTGTTTTGATTCGATGTGGAATGTATTTGAAATGGCTTGGCCCATTCATGGTAACTGCACATCAACACTGGCCCCACCCAGTAGGCCTCAGCTTTTTCATACCACACGACTTTCTCATCGATCACTGCCAAAAACTTGGCATACTGCGTCTCGTCCACAACCTTGCGAGACCGCAGGTCCTGCAAAGACTTGAAGCACTTCTCCATCTTGTCGCTAAAGGCCATGAGTTTCGAGGACAGATCCCCCGAGTAGTCCAAAGAGGAAAGCGAAATGGCATAACGACGACTTTCAGCTGCTTTTTTCAAAGCATCATCCATCTTGCTGGCCAGCAGCCTTGGCAGGAGACAGTGACCAATTTGGAAGGCTGAAACACAGTACGGATTCCAAGATTGCATTCGCTGAGACATGGTTCCAGGCTTGAATTCTGAATCCAACATGTTCTTTGAAGATGGACATTTGGCTAGGCTTGGAAGTAAACGAACAAAACATAAGGGAACTAAGATAATGGCTCATCAAACGTCTTTGGAATGACCTTGTCAGTCTTTTCTGCCTTCTCCTTCTTTGCCTTCACTTTTTCAGCTTTCCCATCCTCGAGACTCAAACACTCCATTAGGTCTTTCTCACCTTTCTCATTGGCAGTCCTGGCAGCTGCATGCATGCCAGCAGCCAATGGGCCATTGGCCAAGGCCTCTGCAACCTCAGCGCACTGGGTTTGCTTGATGGCTACTGCGGTCGCCTCCTTGGTCAAGTTGTCATTGCGAACCTTGTCACCCTTGCCAACCAGGAAGTATCTTTCCTGGCAAAAGCATGATAGGGAGAAAAGGCATGATCAAGAAGATTCAATCCTGTGCTGTACAGTAAAGATGATAGGAACACCAAGTCTATTGCACTCATCTTGTGGGAAGCATGTGAACTCCCGTGGTAACTCTTTAGCAAATTACCGATTTCATTTGTAACACAAAAGTTTCAGAGTGGGTGCAGATTCAAATATCTTCGTGAACAGTGGTCATTAATTTTCTTGCTTGGAGATGTCCCTGGTTGAATCTTGGAATATGTTGTATATATGGCTGAATTGAAAATAAACGTAAAGGAGGAGATATGAAATGCATATGTATACATATTCAAATATACATGCATGTATCATATATGTATATAAATAAATATATATATATATACAAAGTATACGTAGATATGTTTTATAAAGTTTAGATATTAGAATGCCATCATCAGCAGATACCATCCCCTAACTGTCCTCTGCATCTCTTGGAAAATCATCGTCCCAGTACCAGAGTCCACGGTCCAGCAAATTCTTCATCAAACTCTCAGCTTTCTCCTTCGAATAGCGTTGGAGAATCTCCCGGGGTTTCATGCCTTCACGCTCTCGCCTGTTGAGAGTGATCTTCTCAGCACGGCGTTCGATGGTCACCTCCACCCTGAGGCCGAATGGGATGGATTCACAGCGGCAATGGTGACTTCGCACAAGCAAAGGACCGGTCTTGACTGGATGGGAAGAGTTTGGGATTTCATAGGAATAAAAGAATTGCTTCAATGGCTTTGAACTGTAAGTAGGAGGATAGCATTTGAAAGTATCTTTCTAAAACTCATATGCTAAGAGGTTTCCTTTTTTCAGGTCATCAAATTGACACTGGGAATGGTTTTGTGATACTTAGTAAGATGCAGTCAAGTAACTTGGACCAGTCCCCTCCGTGTTGAAGCCAAACTCGAAAGAGGTCGGTTTTGTCCTTCATATAGTGGCTTGCAAGACCTTGAGGAAATTTCTTGCGGTCAAGACACTGTCTTGCAAACTTGCCCCATTCCGCGTGATGGGTTTTGCCTGGGTAATGGCGTGGCTAGATGACAAAGGTGGGAAAGAACACATCCAGTTCCGCTTTGATTGAACATTGTCTGGGGTGCTAAACTCTTGAGCTTTATATCAAATAGTTGACATTGTTTTTTTTCGTGGATGTAGTTGAAAGAGGATGCAATGAAGGTTGAAGGCTAGGTACTGTTTGCCTGGGCAAACTCCGCGGCAACACGTTCCCTTTGCTCCTCAACCGTGACGGCCAGAGCCTGCTGCTTAACCTCAGGCTGCTTGAGAATTGACTTTGGGCTAGTGTTCTTCTCATCCTCCTTCTCAGCCTCCTTCTCAGCCCTCTTATTCTCCTTGTTCTCGAATTTGTTCTGGTCTTTCGCAGGTTCATCTCCAACAAGTTGGTCCAGGGATTTTTCAAACTTCTCCATGTCAATATCCGACTCCATGTCAGCATCACTGCCTTCTTCATCCTCCGTGTCATCCCCCTTCCCAGCGTCTTTTCCTCCTGACCCTTCCGATGAATCCATGCTGGATTCACTGCTGGAATCCTCGGAAGAATCACTGTCATCATTATCATCATTTTTGCATGCTCTTGCAGGGGTCACCGATGCTGTCTCGGGCTGGGCAGGGGCACCCTCAGGTTTCTTGGTCTCCTGCGACTCCACCACCAACTTTCCCATGTGCTCTTCAAGGGTTGCCTCAAGAGCAGCTGCTGACAGCTCTTCCATGTAGCTTTCCAAGGAAAGCCCCCTCTTTGCGGCTTCCCCTTTCCAGGCGGATAGTGTCTCGATGGAAAAGGCTGGTGATGAAAAGCCTGACTCCTGGTCACTAGCGATGAGAGGTGGTCGACATGGTGGGGTGGTAGGCCCCTCTTCCCGCGTTTCAGCACTTGGCGGAGACTTGAAGGAAACACGACGGGCCGGAGGAGTAACTTCTGCAGCTTTCAACTCTTGAGGCTTGGAGTCAGGTTTTCGTTTCTTTGAGATTCCTTGTCCAACTGACTTCTTCTTGTCAACGATCTTGTTCTCTTTGGTCTTCTTAGTCTTCTCAGCATTGCTCCTTTTTTTGTCTTTCTTTGCTGTCTTCATGACTTCTTTTGCTGACTTTGCCTTCGTCTTTGAATCAGCTTTTTGATTCTTTTTGGACCTCTTATCAAGCTCGTTGTCTTTCTTCCCCATGATCAACAGCTCGAAGGGAGCAGGCACAGGTTCACCGTATATATGATCCACTGCAGGTTTGCATGATACAAACATGAAACTTATGTATAGACTTTCCTATATATGTATTTTAACATATGTGATGGCTAAATATAGCTGATCCCCCAATAATGGCTGAACCACCCGGTAATGGCTGATCCCCCAATAACGGCTGAACCACCAGGTAATGGCTGATCCCCCAATAACGGCTGAACCACCAGGTAATGGCTGATCTCCCAATAATGGCTGAGCCCCCAGCATATATATAAAGTGTAATGGGATATATCCACATGAAATCCAGCAGTTTTGGGTGAAAATTTGCCTAACGGCTGTTCTGCACCAATAACGGCTGAGGTCTCAACCTCTAACGGCTGAATGGTTTTAGTTCTGGGAAAAATCAATATGTTTTGTGATTTTTGGTCACTACACCTGCAATCCCATCCTATAAGCATATAGAATGGGCGGATGGCACCTTTGCAGCTTTGCTTCAGGACAAATCTGCCCATCCAGACCTGCCATGCATCATGGAGGCCAATCGTGGGTCCAGATCATGAAGGGGTCCATGCAGGGTACGAATTAATTCAAAAAACATCTAGAGCATGTTTCTCATCACCCCCAACACCTTCTTGTTGGACAGCATGTAAAGGTTTACCAAGGTTACCCCTAACATATTCACAGAAATGTGAAATACGACCAATTGAAAGTAAACAGCCAAGTCCCATTTCAACGGCTTCACTTTTTTGACCAGAACATGATGAAACGTTGCTTTAAACACCGACCCCTTGCAAAAGGGTATGCATCACGCTAATTGGGAAATGTCGTGGGAACCAAAACCCACAAGCATTTTGCATTTTGCAAATTGCCAATTTGCTTTCCAGAAGATCCTACATCCTAAGAAAGGAATTCAAAAATGGGCTTGAGGTTTGCACACCTGACCCACATAGCATCCTTGGATGTGCGCCGCTTGACAGTTTTGCACTGCCTGACGGCTTCCTTGATCAGGTTCACTGCCCTTCGACGATTGTCCTTCAGGTGGGCAGTCCGCAGTCTGGACATAGCACGGCCAAACCTGGGCTGTGAATCCCAAATCCTATAGACTCATGACCAGCATCAAATCTTTTGGATCACACCTGGAAAACACAGCTATACACATGTTTCATGTGGAGGAACTGAATAGGGTAGGCCTGCGACCCCTTGAGATGGCAGTTTCCCTTGATTCGCTGCTTTCCATTTGAATCCGTATATCTGGTGACCAAAGCAATCACCTCATCAGCGTTTCTACGGAAGTAGGGCTTGTAGCTGGCCAGCTCGGAAATCTCTTCTTTACCTAAGCAAGGCTAAAGGTGGATGGCAAACTGGACAGAATAATTATTTCAATACTATAGTTCAAAAAGTGCATGCAAAGACCATTGTTAGACCAACATCCATTCATCAATGAGTCTGGTGTTTACCACTACTTTTCCGCCCTCCTTCAGACTTTCAATTTTGAGACATACTATCGACTATCGCAAAACCATAAACAATTGTTGGGCATACTTCAATATACTGACGATAAACAAGTCACTGGAGTACAGCCACGTTGGTTTAGAGCTCAGTGCTCCGTAGTCATACATGCATATCCTGTGTCGGAAAATATGAGTTCCTTAGTACCATCAAAATTGTTTGGAAGAGATCTTTGTATTACAAGGTGATCGGTATTGTCAGGTCACACCCAAGATGAAAACATATAGACATATAAAGGCAAAGTTTGGTGGGCATGCACGGGACCCTAGAAGAGTCAATGTTGACAGCATGGACTATAGATTAGACTACAATGGAATGGGGTTGGTTTCCACCGGAACAAAATTGACGAACCAACTTGAATAGTTTGGTGAAAGCTGGAAACCATTTTTCTTGTGTAGTCTGAGGGGCATATATACGAATGAACTGCACACAGGTGCAGCCAACGCCCCTCCTCCAGGGCGAACACACGTTGCATGGTAAAGGGCTGACAAAAAGCCCTGGTCACTCAGCAAATCCATTGTCTTCGGATCATGGTCGTAGTCCATAGCCACGCTGTTGGTGCGACCCTCCTGGACAACAACCGCAATGATATGTATATATATATGTAAATATACTTTATATATTTTTCTTTTTGACATCATTGAAAAAACAATTTAAATAGCGTTTGACACAAAATCATTTTCAGATATTTCCACGACAGCTAGGGATTGTGCCTGGAAATCATTCTACAGGCACCCAGAATGCATTTTTTCAAATAGGCTGGGCGTGGATGGATTTTAAAGGAAGTTCCAAATATCCCTATCTAGAACACATGTGGAAACACCATGTGTTGGGACATGAGACACGCTGGAATGTTTTGATCCCAAGATCATGGCTATTGGTAAGACAACTGATTTCCCATTCCCATCCTCAAACTCTCCACGGGTGACAGCGCACTGGCCAGCAAACAGCTCGAGGTGGTCCAACTCATGCTCGGGCCCCCATTGGAGCGAAGGGAGCGCAAACAAAGCGCACACCAGCGAAGCGATCACCTGGGATATGGAGAGGTTTTTTATATATTGTACTTGATGCCCTGATCCATGTAGATAGCTGACCTATTCCTAATAAGGCTACCATGGTGCTTCTAAAACCATCAAGGTGAAATGGGATGGCATCCATGAACAGGTTGCATGATTAACCAGTGGTTTGGCTTGTGGTTTGGAATCTTTGGAAAGCTTTGAGACAGGGATTATCATCATGGGGCACTACTACGAACCCATCTAAAATGAAGTTAATGCATCACCGAGAAAATCCATTCATCCATCTTCCAGTGTTCAATTGCTTTTTACACAACTCTTATTGGTGAAACTATCTCAAACCCACAAGCCAATGTACTATGGAAGCTATTTTGAACCCTGAAGTCACCACTGCTGAATATTTTTAGAGCCTGGGGGCTGCGGGAGCCTTGAGCATTCTCAGGCCCGAAATGATGCTGCGGCGCTTGGTCTCTCGGAAGGACAGCTTGCTGTCACTGTCAGTCTGCAGCTTGGGCGCTTTAGATCGGGCATAGGCAATCACTGTCCGCTTGGCCACAGGTTTTCCCATAGCTAAGAACTTTCAGGGATTCCCGGGTTACACGCCCTCCAAGGATTGATCGAGCTAAAACAGAAATTTCGGGTGTCAGAATGGTTCACGACATAAATGCTGAAGACATCCATATGCATGCATGCATGCAGACATGCATACATACAGACAGACATACATCCATTACATACATCCATTACATGCATGCAAAGATAGATAGATAGAAAGAAAGAAAGATAGATAGATAGACAGGTAGATAGATAGGTAGATAGATAGATAGGTAGGTAGATAGATAGATTTCAACATTTGAAGATAAAGAAAAGATGAAGAAAAAGATAAAGATAAAGATAAAGATACATATAAAGAAAGATAAAGGTAGATAAAGATAGATAAAGATAGAAAAAGATAGATACAGATAGATAGATACAGACAGGCAGACAGACAGACAGACAAACAGATAGATAGATAGATAGATAGATAGATAGAAAGATAAAGATAAAGAAAAAGATAAAGAATAAAGAATCAAGAAAAATAATAAAGATAAAGATAAATATAAATATAAAGAAAGATAAACACAGATAAAAGTAGATAACAGATAAACACAGATAGACACAGATAGATACAGAAAGATACAGATAGATACATATAGATAGATAGATAGATAGATAGATAGATAGATAGATAGATAGATAGATAGATAGATAGATACAGATAGATACAGATAGGTAGATACAGATAGATAGATACAGATAGCTAGAAACAGATAGATAGATACAGAAAGATAGATACAGATAGATACTTACAGGTAGATAGATAGATAGATAGATAGACAGATAGATAGATACATACATACACGATAGTGGTGTAAGTTCTAATCAGCTCGTACTGTGTCCTTTGTGTCCTATGGCATGTTTCTCCCATGTTTTCAAAAACCAATGTCTGACCTCAGGAGTTTGTGTTGGATAAAATGTTTCCTTTCACCCTGTAACTGTAAAGGAATACAAAAGTCATTGTAACAGTGACAAACGGTACACACTGGTTTTGCAGCCGGTTTCGGAACTCAGTGGGCACGACAGGCAGTGCCCCAACATTGGTGAACCGCATGGTTCAAAGACTGATGCTTTGCATCATGTTTCCCAAATAGCATTATGAATAATGCCACTCCCCGTGATTCATCCTTGATCACTTCTACGGCTACGTGGATCTACAGACCAGCCAAGCGCCAACCCATTGTGGGAAATGATGAGTTAAAACATCTCTGTGAAACTATTGTTATTTGTTGATATTTGTTGAAATGATAATTCTATCAACATGGGGCTTGAAAAAGATTTTTCATGGATCCCACTGGATTGCGATCTATGCTGCTCTTGCCATCAAAAATACCAGATCAAAACACTCATGGTAGCACGCCAGCTTTGGTGCATGCTGCAATCCAGGCCGATCGGGGCCCACCATGCTTACCCCAAGATACCTGGCCCTTGTTGGGACCTCGCACATAGCACGCACGATTCTTCAACAAGACCTCCAACTTGGCCGCCCCCTTGATCACCGTGTAGCTGTGTCGTCCCAAATGACGACGGCTCGGATCAGGACACGCATTGCCTCAAGAGCCGGCACTTCGAGGAAATAAGATGCAGCTACAGGGTCTGATCGATGAGGCTCTGATGTTTACGGAGGATATCCTTGATGAATGATGGGCCCCAAAAGATATTAACACATGTTAACCACTGATGATTTGGCCATGTGAGGGTTTTCCACCTGCAGCTACATTGGAAAACCTTAACACCCAAATCAATCAAACTTGCTGGAAGTTGTTTTGCAAAGCCATGAGAATGATCCCCTTCATTATCTTAGCATTTCTAGACGATTGCCATCCTCTTTTTAGCAAGCTGCGGGGAATGCCCAGCTCGGTCAAATTGTAATCGTGGTACATCAGGTCATAGTGAGCCTGCAGCATGGGGTGTGGAAAAGGGATGCAGAAATTGTTTGACCTCATGGGAAACCAATGGTGGTAATATCAACCCCTTTTCAAGAATAGCTGGAAAATGCTGGAAAATAGTGGTGATTAAAGTAACCCTGACGGAAACGATGGTAGGTTTAGCAACCCCTATTCTTGAATGGTGGTAGGAATCCCATGCAGGGTTTGTATGTATATAAAAACATGTTTATATAAATATGTATGTATAAATATGTATATGTATATATATATATATGTATACATGTATATATATATATATATACGTGTGTGTATGTATATATGTACACATGTGTGTATATATTGAGGTATATATATATTGATGTGTATATATATATATATGTATACATAGGGTATATATATAATGTATAAATGGATATATATGTTTATATTCTAATATAGATATGCACATGTTTGGCATGTATATATAAATATATAAACAGATTGTTTCGGTATTCAAGTGGGATGCCCTTCCAATCTTCCAATGGCACCTCATCCTCAGAATTGCCAGGAGGACAAAGACCTTCATCAGCAGCTCCGGCAAGATCAGGAGAAGGCTCAGCGGTCGGGGCAGGGGTCTTCCGGGCACGGTTTCCACGGTGGAATGAAGCCTTCTTTGCACTCTTCTTCTTCACAGCCTTCTTGGACTTTGCCTCCATCGGAGCCTTAGAGGTCCAGCAAAAGAAAGAAACCCATGAACCAAAGGTTCCTATTGTGGAAACTTGATAAAACTTTTAGGTTGTGATGGATCCCTGGGATTGAATGTATGTAAGTGGGTAAACCATTTCTGGGAACACCCTTTTCGATAAGTATAGCCAAAACATCTTCCCTTATTATCATATTTTGGTGGTGGTCGTATGGACAAGAACCAAATTGAAATGTCAAGAAACTTGAGGTCCAACCTTTGGGGGTTCGCTCTCCATCATTCTATCGACAACTTCGTGGTACCACGCTGGTTTTTCCAAGGGTGGCAGCTTCAGGGTGTCAACCGTGGGCTTCATTGGTTTGGATTCTTCAATCCCCATAAGACCCAGAGCTTCATGAAGTGTTTGTTCAATAGCGATTCCTTTGGTGACTTTTCGCCAATCCTTGAGCTCCGCTTTGGTATACTTCTCCCATGGCGAGCCCGGAAGAATAGTGTCCCCAGAAACTTCAGATGATGTCCCGTCCTAAGAACGTACAGGTATAGATTCACAAGAAAGAGAAGTTGAAATGAAACCCATGCAAGCTTCACCCCCCAACCATACTAATGCAGTAAAGAATCATCATCGGAGACCATAGGCTTGAGCTTGGCAGTCTTCGGTTCGCTAGACGTCTCGAAGCAGGCAGGCCTCTTCGCTGGGGTGACGATCATATCCTTGGGTTCCTTGGGCGCACTCTCATCCATCAACGGCATCGGCTCCTTGGAGCCACGATCATCCACATTGTCCGGCGGAACAGGACCGACCTGCAGGGCTTTCAAGTTGAAGCCAAGCCCCGTATTGCCGCGTGCATCTGCAGGCAAGTTGGGCACTTCGGAATCCGACCCATCAGATGATGATGAGTCAGCAGCAGGAGGGCCACCAAGAGGGCCATCACGGCCAGGAAGCTCCAAGGTGGTGTCACTGTCAAAGCTGGCTGGCACCTCCGCTTCGGCATCATCGCTTTCATCACTGGACATCTCGTCTGACGAACATGGATCACTGGCAGCCTCATCGGGGGTGCCAGCATCATCTTCATCAGCTTCTGCAGGATCAGCAGCCGAGTCTGCATCGTCCAAAGCCTGCCGTCGGAAAGGTATAGATGTTCTATGATGTCACTTCAATTTTTCAATATAGAGCCATCTAATTCCATGGATTATCATGGTTGAATTTGAAAGCATAGGCCAGCTTGGGGTTGCCCTATTCTAAGACCAGCAGCCTGCATAGAGGAATTGGTTTTATATTGAAACCCAAAGTTCAGAATCCAGCCTCATCCATATGCTCTTCATCCAAAGCATTGCCACGTCGAAGGCGAGCCTCACCCGGTCTAAAAACGCAAATGAACAGTTTGTCACCACAGCCATATGTTTAAAAAACCCCTTTTCATGCTGCAGGGTGCCTAGAAAAAATTACCTAAATAATTGCAAAGGGACATCAGACCTCGGTGATGGCTTCAACATCTGCTTCAGCTCAGAGACCCGCGGATGGAAGCTGTTCTCACCTTTGTGGGTATTTGTGGGCATAGAAAGATAACCCCATGAATGCAAGTCACCCCCAGCTTTAAATTTGAAACCCCATTTTAAGAAAATTGAAAATGGACACTACCATAATGTCAAAACCGAAGGAACTGTTTCTATAAAGATAGCGAAGGGCACCCATCAGCTTCTTCACTCTCGTTGCCTCGTCACCAGCCTGGGAAACCTTCGGGATGCCAGGCTTGCACAGAAGACGTCCTTCAAGGAGGCTGTCAGCGTACCTTGGCCGTGATGACTGGGACAACAAAACGGCCAGGTGCAACATGAGATCTTATCTAGTTGAACATCAAGAAAAGGGGCACCTTTGGTTATTGACTTGGGTTGGTTTGCAAATAGGACGCTCCTAGATCCAGTGAATCATCATCCCTTGTCCAAGTTAATTAGACATAGGGGGGCATGTCCTATAGTCTCCCAAGTTTCGGAAGCAATCACAAAGAGGGATATTTCTGCAAGAAATGGGGGGCTACAGCCAAGATGCAAAAAGATGTCTGTCAGGATCAAACCTCCCGGTACCGTAGTAGGGAATGTTTCGCCACCGGGCGAAGCCATACAAAGTTCGTGGCCAGCTCCTTCGGGGCCGTCCCAAAAACAGAATTCTTTTGGTGACTGTGGTGAACATCATTTTACAAGACCATTTTTTACCTGAAACCTTCCGGAAAGATTCATGAATCCCCAATCAACTTGAATTGAGATATCCCAAATAGATGGAAGCAATGGGATCTTCAGATACTAGTTCTAAACTCTCAGGAATCAATGTCTCCACACAGAAACCAATCTTTTATATTTCTAAGATGAATATATTGGATTATATTGGATTCCTTGATGTATGGAAATTCACCCATCAAGCCCCCAACCAAAGATATTCCAAGATAGTGGGAAACCGTCCCGAAATGACGGGCGATGAACTTCCGATTCAAGACGCACAAGATCTGCTCCCTGGAACCCGCTCGACTGGAACAGGCTCAACGCTCGTGGTGGGATCCCCTGGACAATGTCATGGGCAACCTGGGCCTTGGAGGAGCACGGGATTAGCCTGCAGTAGTGGGTATTGAGTTTAGTTGGAGAGGAAAAACATGGGGGTTTCCATCAGTGAGGCACCCCTATTTATGGAGGCTTTAGAATGGAAAATCTTTTTAATATAGATGATTGGGGGTACCCTATTTATGGAAACCTTCAAAAAATTTGGTTTTGATGGGTGGTTCATCCTGCAAAAGGCCACCAAAATTTCAGTTTTTCCGTGCTATGAAAATTGAAATCTGTCGAAGCCAAGACACCACAAATTCTTCGTTCCACTTTATCTGTCCAGGGCCTAAGCTTTAAGTTGCAGGCAGGCTTATACATAGAGACTTTGGAAGACATAAATGACATAAGAGGTAAACTTGGAAAAAAAAACATAGCCTGGGCAATAACCACGGGACGAACTGACTTCCAACCATCAGCCCGCATCCCCAAAGCAGCATGGATGTCATGGTCTGCACGCTCCATGGCAGCACACAGCAAGCTGATGAGCAGCAGCACCACTTTGTGAACCGGCTAGCAACGAGCCAAGGGTTTTCAAAACATGGCATTGTCAGCCCCAGGAACCCCAGGTCGCTTCAAAAAGGCTAGCATCCTACAGATGAGGAGTTTCCGTAAAAGAAATCAGTGCCATTCATGTCAACTTTCCGAATGCTGATGGAAAGGCCACCTGACATATAATTACATAAGTCTCTTGAATTCTGAAATAGTGTCCGCTAATTTTTTAGGATGGTAATTTACCTGTGTTACTTGTTAAAGATACCGACCAGAACCATCTAATACGTGACTGTCACATGGGATCATCACCCCAACATGCAAGTATTAGGGAAATTAAGAATGCGCAGATCGGCAACCATCTACTTTTTCGGTGGGTATATGCAATTTTGATTGGGGAACCAAACTGTCAGTGGCATGCATGCTGTCTCATGAGAATGGATGAACCGCTAAACATGGTGGAATTCCCATCAGAAGAAACTGGGCGTGGTCAATTTCCCCAATCATGCCTCCCCATCACCAACTCCATGTCCATTCTGCAGCTACAAACTGGCCAGGAAAACCTGGAGATCGCTGGATTCAAAATGAATCCTCCTGAGCCGGTCGCGCCAGTGGGATCAGGTGGCATAAACATGATTCCATTTTGTGGGACCTTCAGTGTCTACTATGTTTTGTGTATTTTTTTGGGACATGGCCAGATGATACTGGCTGGAAAGATATGGTTGGGAGCAGAACATCCTGAATACATTTGTTTGGGTGATATCTAAACCACTTTTGTGACCATTGTATCCGCGGTAGGTGCTTGGAACCAACAAAAAAGGAAAATGGAATCAGCATGATCCTGCATGTTCCGGGTCTCCAATTCTGCATGGAGGGGTTGAAAAAAAACGCATGGCTTGTGAGCTGAGCAAATTCGTATGTTTTTCATGTGGCAAGCCCTCCGCCCGCTGCCAATCCTCTCAGTGTCAACTGCGCAAAGCTGCCAGAGCGACGCCAGAAAAAACACCGAAAGCGCAAGGGCCATGTGGCCAGGCGAGGAACGGTGAGATCTATAGCAACATATAGATGTCCATATTTATTTTTGAGAGGGATTCTTCCAGTCAAATATTTCGACGGGCACTATGTAAATGGCCATACGTATTTCATTCCCGTGGTTTAGATGATTTAAGATATAGTTAAGTGTACATGGGTTGATGTTGGTGTGGTTCAGCGATGCAACGTCCATATACCC